ATAGAATCATGTGGTTCTTGGTTTTTCATCTATTAAAGTGCCAAATTACATCCGGGCTCAATGGCTCAGCCTGTAATTCCAGCACTTTGGGAGGCTGAGGCCAGTGGATTGCCTGAGCCCATGGGTTTGAGACTAGCCCGGAAAACTTGGCAAGACGGCGCCTCTACAATAAAATAACAAATAGCTGGGTGTGGTAGCACACGTCTTTAGTTCAGGCTACTTGGAAGGCTGAGATGGAAGGATTGCTGGAGCCCAGGAGGTTGATGATGGGGTGGCCGTGAGCGTGCATGCCACTGCACTCCAGTCTGGGTGAAGGAGTGAGACTCCAACTCAAAAAAAAAAAAAAAAAGTGCTAAATTACGTTTATAGTCTTGCAAATATTGAACTAGCCCTACATCCCAGGAATAAAGCCCATTTGGTCATCATGGATGATCCTTGAGATGTGTAGTTGGATCCAATTTGCTAGAATCTTGTTGGAAAATTTTTGCATCTATGTTCATCAAGATTGGCCTGTAATTCTCTTTCCTTGCTGAATTTTGGCCAGGTTTGGGTTTCAGTATAATGTTTGCTTTATAAACTAATTTTGAGAAAATTCTGCCTTTCTCAATTGCCTAGAATACTTTGAATAAGATTGGTATCATCTCCTTTTTGTATGTCTTGTAGAATTCAGTTGGGAAGCCATTTATTTTGAGACTTTTTTTTTTTGAGTTGGAGTCTCACTCGGTCACTCCCGGCCACCGCAGCCTCGACCTGCTGGGCTCTGGCGATCCTTCCGCCTCAGGCTTCCAAGTAGCTGGAACTACAGGCGCGCGCTACCACGCCCGGCTCATTTTTTGATTTATTGTAGAGATGAGGTCTCACCAAGTTGCCGAGGCGGGTCTCGAACCCGTGGGCTCAGGCAATCCACTCACCTCAAACTCCCAAAGGCGCGGGATTACAGGCTGAGCCACCGAGCCCAGCTGAGACTTTTTTGAAGGAGTAGATTTCTTATGACTGGATTGATATTGATCTGTTTAGAGTTTCAGTTTCTTCTTGTTTCAACCTTGGGAAGTTGTGTGATGTCTAAAAATCTTCCATTTCCTTTCAATTTTCTAGTTTATTTGCATACTGGTGTTCATAGTAATCTCTGATCATCTTGAATTTCTCTTTTTTTTCTTTAGTCAGTCTGGCAAGAAGTCTGTCAGTCTTATAAATTCTTTCAAAGAATCAGCTTTTTGTCTTGTTGATCTTTTCTATGATATTTCTGTTTTTTATATCCTGTAATTGTGATTTTTATCTTGGTGATCTGGATTCTTCTACCAATGTTACGATTTAGATGATCTTGCCTTTCCAGGTTTCTTTGGTGTGCTGTTGGGCTATTTACTTGTGATCATTCTGTTTTCTTAATGTGTGCATGCAATGCCAGGAATTTTCCTCTTAGCACTGCCTTCAGCCATTGTTTTTGTTAAGCATTGGCCAGGCCATGTACTCATTGAGATATGGCCGCCATGTTTACCTAAGATTTGGCCCCCTCCCCTACCTTGGAGAAGTGAGTCTTTTCTCTCCTCCTCGCTAATTTACTTTCTAAATAAACTATATTTTCTAGTCTTTAAAAAAATACCTGTTTTCATGGCATCCCAGAATTTTGATAAGATATGTCTTTATTTTCGTTTGTTTCCAGGAATCTTTTTGTTCTGTCTCGATCTCCATGTTGATCCTGAAGTCATTCAGCAGCATGTTTTTTTGTGTGTGTTGGGGGGAATCCTATTTTTATTCCAGTATGATCTGAGAGGATACATGCTATTATTTCAATCTTTTGAAATTTGTTCAGCTGAGCTCGGTGGCTCAGCCTGTAATCCCGTGCCTTGGGAGGCGGAGGTGAGTGGATTGCCTGAGCCTGCAGGTTTGAGACCCACCTGGGCAACTTGGTGAGACCTCATCTCTACAATAAATCAAAACATTAGCCGGGTGTGGTAGCACACACCTGTAGTTCCAGCTACTTGGAAGGCAGAGGCGGAAGGCTCGCCGGAGCCCAGCAGGTCGAGGCTGTGGTGGCTGGGAGCACCCACTGCCCTCCAGTCTGGTTGACAGAGTGAGACTCCAACTCAAAAAAAAAAAAAAGAAATTTGTTCATGCTTATGTCCAAAAATGTGATTGATCTTAGCATATGTTCCATGTGCTGACGAATAGAATGTATACTCTGTAGATGTCTATTAAATTCATGTGATTGAGTGTTAAGGTTCTAGATCTCCTTGTTGGTTCTTTGCCTAGATGATCTATCTAGAGCTATTAGTGGGGTATTTAGGTCTCTAACTATGATAGTATGAGAGTCAGTGTCCTCTTTTAGCTTACTTAATAGTTGTTTTATAAAACTTGATGCTCCTGTGTTGGGTGCATATATATTTATGATGAATATTTCTTGCTGATGAATTGAGCCTTTTTCATTATATAGTGTTCTTTTTAACTTTTGATTGTTTGAAGTCTGCTTTTTCTGATACCAGAATAGCTACTCCTGCTTTCTTCTGTTTTCCATTTGTATGAAAGACCATTTTCCAGCCCCCAATTTTGAGCCTGTGGATGTCTTTTGCAGTGAGATAAGCTTCCTGGAGGTAGCAGACTGTTGGATCATGCTTCTTTATCCAGTTTGCCACTCTGGCAATTTCCAATTGATTATTGAAATGTGAAAGCTTATCCCTGTCATAGGGCTCTTAGGGGGTGCTTTGTTTCCTTTTAACTTTTGTATTTATGTATGTGTGTTTTTTCATTTTTGTGACTGCTCTGTTGACTGTGCTTGCCTGTATTTTTGTGATGGATATGACCATTCTTTTTTTTTTGCCGTGTTCATCAGCTTCTTAAGCATCTCTTGAAGGGCTGGTCTGGAGATGGCATATTCTGTTAGTGATTAGATGTCTGGGAAGGATTTTACTTCTCCATCACCGATGAAGCTTAGCTTGGCAGGTTAGGAAATTCTTGGTTGGAAATGCTTATTTTTAAGAATGTTAAAGAGTGGACTCCAGTCCCTTCCGGCTTGTAGTATTTCAGCAGATAAGTCTGGAACAATTCTGATTGGTCTTCTCTGGTAAATAGTCTAACCTTTCTCTCTTGCCATCTTTAGGATTTTTTCTTTCATGCTTACTTTATGAAGATGAATTATTATGTATCTTGGGGGTAGTCTTCCTATGTGACACTTTGTGAGGTTTCTCTGAATCTCTTGTGCTTGAATGGTCACCTCTCTAGCGGGATGTGGGAAGTTTTCTTGGATGATTTCATGAATGTTCTTTGGTGTTCTCAGTTTCCCCTTCTGCTTCAGAGATACTAATCAGGTATAGATTTGGCTTCTTGACATAATCCCATATCTCTTGGAGGCTTTGTTCCTTCTTATTGAGCTTTTTTCCTATGTTTTTGACAGACTGGGTTAATTCCATATTTTGGTCTTCAAGCTCTGAGATTCTTTCCTCTGCTTGGTTAATCTTGGCTCACTATGCTTGTTACTTTGTTTTTGATTTCCAGGATAGAGTTCTTCATTTCCATTATTTCAGAATAGGTTTTTCTGAAATTGGCCAACTCTGCTTTTACTTCGTGTGTGACTTCAGTGAGCTTTGCTTCTAGTTTCTCCTGGATCTCTCTGTTCATTTTAGACATTCAACCCCTGATTTCTGTGACTGTCATCTGGGGCAGGTCGTTGTGAGTTGGGGGTTTCATTGTTTGTACTCTAATAGCTGTTTTATCAGACACTGTCTCTTTAGTACTCTGAGGATTGCCTATTTTTTGTTGTTGTTGATTTTTCCTCATTTGTGATAGGCCTCTCTTCCCTCTCTGTAATTCCTTTCGGTTGTGTTGCTTTGGAACTAGTCGCTGACCCTCTGTCCTAGGGCCCTTTCTGTGGTTCAGTATAGGTCACTCAGTGAGAGCGGGAGGGGTGCTCACTTCTCTCCTTGCTCCACCGTGAGGCAGGTGTAGCAGGCCCTGCCACCAGCACTCTGCAGAAAGTGGCTGAGAGGATGGGCCTCCCCGTCTGCTGTCTGCAGTCTGCAGCCCCAAAGCCTTCTCAGCAAGAAGGCCTGTGGGTGTTTTTTGTGTTGCTCCCTCGCTATTGAAGTCAACACTCTGCTCTTGAGGAAGACCGATTTCCCTGCCACAAGGGTCAGGGAAGCGGTTCTGCCCTGTAGGCATGCAGGGCTTGGAGGTGATTCTCCCAGGTCTGGCTGTGAAGATGGGCTGAGTGCCAGGGAGGTTCACTGCAAGCGGGCTTTCCCTTGCCTGGGAGCCGGCCGGGTCTCTGGTGAAAAGCCAGTGCAGGTTTTTTTTTGTTTTTCTGCTTGGAGTCTGGTTACCCACCAGTGTGCCCTGACCAGCACTCCTCCCACATGGGACCAGCGACTTGCACATGACTGGGAAGGGCTCAACAGACCCAAAGTGGCCGGGTTCCGTGGCTCAGCCTGTAATCCCGCGCTTTGGGAGGCCGAGGTGAGTGAATTGCCTGAGCCCGCGGGTTCGAGACCCGCCTGGGCAACTTGGCGAGACCTCATCTCTACAATAAATTAAAAAATCAGCCGGGCATGGTAGCGCGCGCCTGTAGTTCCAGCTCCTTGGAAGGCTGCGCAGAAGGATCGCCGGAGCCCAGCAGCTCGAGGCTGCGGTGGCCGGGAGCAGCCACTGCACTCCAGTCTGGGCGGCAGAGTGAGAATTCAACTCGAAAAAAAGAAAAACAGACCCAAAGTGTCTTAGGTACACTCACCTACTCTCGTTCACCAGGTGGGGCTTCAGTTCCTGTGCAAGCCTGGCACACAGTGGGGGACGCAGTGCCTGGATTTCCCCGTCTGCTGTTGTTTTCTGGTCTCTGTGTGTTTAAAGATATGTTTAGTGGTGCAGGGTGCTTCATCCTTCCAGAATCGCTGAGGCACCTCTGTCTGCTGGCGGCTGGGTCCTATCTCTGCTTTACTCAGTGAGAGTTGCACCGGTCTGCTGCTTCACAGTAGCTTTATCTTCTTAATTCTCATACTTATTGTTCGGCCTTTTAGTGATTCCAAAGCACCGCGGAGGGAATATCAAGAATGGCTGGCAAAAATGTCAGGAGTATATAATGCTGGAGCTTACGCGGTAATGTATGAGTAAGTTTTGTTTTGATTTTCTTTGTATTAGCTAGTTCATTCTTCTCAGAGTTGCATATTTACTTTTGATTCTTAGAAAGTTTTGCCCGAGATCATCAAAATCTCGGTATTTGAACTTCCACATGAAGAGTTTTACAACTTAAATTTCAAGTCACAAGAAATTTGTTTCCTCCTAACAAGACATTTCCTCATTAAATCACAGGAAGGCTAGTCGGACTGAAACAGTCACATCTTTGAGGAAGATGGAAAGCAGAGTGCCGGCCGACCTCCTAAAGTAAGTCCACCT